CCTAAAACTTTCGGGCTAGCCAACCTCTCCATCACCCCTGCGCCAGCAAATTTGCAGCAGACGTCTGAGAGGAAAGACCCGATATGATACATCAGTAGACTTCTGCCAGTCATTGCACAGGTCAAATATACACCCAATTCATTTACATCTAACTTTTATTTTTTTTACTAATTTTTAAAAATTTTTATTAATTCACATCGAATCTACTTACAATTTAGAAATAACAAATACAGCTGTCTCTACGATGCTTATTGAAGATAAATGCATGACATGTCTCTTAGGAGATAAACAACAGCTACTTTCAATTAATAAGTAGTACGAGGTTGTATCGGAAATTTATTCGTCTAACATTTCGCCGCCTTCACCATCTTTAGGGCAAGCTTGATACAAGTCGACTGCCTACATAGTTCACTCTTACAACGTGCTTCTTCGTATTCGCACCAGTGGAACTTTTGAAGTAGAGAACAGCACGCGCAGCGCCAGATCGCAGAAATGAACAGCTGCAGACAATTGACTCGGATCAAATCAACTCAAGAAAAAAGAAGGCACCGAAACCCTTGTCGAATAAATTTTTTTAACAACGTCGTGCTGGTCTATCAATGAAAGAAGGTACGCTGATTATTCACACCGAAGTAAAACCTAAGCCGGTTTTCTTTGCGCACGATGGAATCCTTAGAGATATGTTGAGCGGTGGCACACTGTACGTACACCAGAAATAGCCGTCCTTTCGTCAAATGGAAACAAATTTGTACGAAACAGTTTCTTGCTTTGCGTAAACTATTAGTGTTGAATATAACGTTTCTCGTTCAAAATAAGATAGCGATTGAATACAAGAAGTATATCAACAAAACCCTATGCGGAAAAATAAACAGCCGTGAAGACAAAGCGTGCTCCACTTAGTATACCTTCACTTGTGTCTGCAACATCAATGTATATAGCTGGATATAGGGTTATACCAGTGTATATGCAAGAAGTCGAATGTTTTTCGTTCTCAAAGGCTCACATACTGCCTTATTCTTACAATTAATAGGTAAACAACTCACTGCTTTCAGCATTGGAGTACATAAAGGCTACGTCTCAAAAGTCTTCAAACGTTCTTTCATAAAGGTAATTGAAAGGTGTCAGTTGAAAGTTATCGCATTTTGCCATTAGAACATTAAAAAATATGATCTAGAATCATTCTTGAGAATTGACCACAATCTGCCATGTTTGAACGACAAACGCGGAAAAAAAACCCTACCCACATGACTATGAGATCCTATGACTACAAACTTCTCTATAACTTTCCTGCGTATAGAACCAATAAAAGAAATCAAGGTAAGAGAATTAAAAAGACGGGCAGTGTCGATCTGTTAAGAACACTAGTACTAAGCATAAGCATCGTCTCATCACAATATAGACGGATCTCAAAAATTTTTTGTCTATTCCTATTGGATGATATATTCATGACCAAAAAAAATACTGCCTAATTAAATATGGAAAAAAACACTTACAATTCCCGTTAAGGGTGGTATGGAAGCCTCTTTAGACTCTTCTGACTGAATCTTTGTTGTACAAGTAGGGACAGCCAAACGCGACGTCCATACACGCTCTCTCCCTCGGAGCGTGCAAGACGGAATAGACGGGATTAGGACTTTGATATGAGACGGAAAGTGGCGATGAGTGTGCTGTGGACGCTGAGACGATCACCGGTCTTCGGAAGATCGATGTCTATAAAAAGTTGTAAAGTTTCCAACATCTAAGAATTTCAGGTGAAATATGCGAGTTCGCGTCTAAAAGAACAAATTCTCTCGAACATAATGCATGAAAACAATCACCACGTAATTCAAATAACGTCATGTCGACGAAAGAAAAACGCCGTTGCGAATATTCAGTGAATAAAAATAGACAATCGCCCAATAAACATCGGTTAGAAGAGGACAAGGTACACTACAGTGTTATGCAGCACCAGAACCGCCCATGTTGAAGGGAATCAACTTCCGATAATATAAAGAACGAAAACAATCTGACGAAACAACAAGCAATTAAAGGAGCAGCAGCCACACTTTTGAGTAGAGTTATGGGGCAGTACTTTACGCGTTGCAAAAAAGATATCACAGCAGCCCTGTACAGACGGATAGAAGCACAAATTTATATAAAGATGGTTAATAAAGAAAATACAGTAGAGAAACTTTTGCCTAAAAATTCACAAAAAAAAACGGCGAATCGAATAAACTACAACTGCAAACGCTACCAACACCAACTTAGGATTGCTAAAGGAAACTCAAACTCACGAAGTCCACAGAGGAAACGAAGCAGACATCGTCGTCGCACAACCGACCGCACGCCAGCCCGACAACCCTTACACACTGGGACTATGGGGCGGGGCGAACGCTATCAGGCGGCCCGCCTCGACGACGTCCCGCCCACCCCTCGCCCCCCAAAACCATTTGGAGGCCAAATAAAATCTTATTGATTTCTTAGAAATCACTACTCTTTATGTACCAAATCCCATAACCGACTTCCGATTAAAATACGCACTGATCATAATTCACTATTTTTCTAGATGAGCAAACACGAGGTTGGTATTAGAGGGTTTATTAGTACACAACAGCTGACGTTTCGGTATTTTCACCTTCTTCTGAGCCCAGAACGGTCAAATTGAAATGCGAGTTATGATCTAAATTAGACCCAGGTTCTAGGCTTTGAAGAAGGCGAAACCCCCGAGATGTCAGCTATTAAGTACTAATAAGTGCTCTAATACCAACCTCTTATTTGCTCGTTGAGAAAGAGTGAACCACTATTCTCATAAATGGACATGTTTTGAGCAATCGCAACAAAGGTATAAGAACTTCTTCCCATCAGCCACAGGAGAGTACACAACTTCTCTATTGTAATTCCATTCACAACACGATAGGATCCATTCACGGAAAGCATAACGAGCTTAAAACTTTCCAATAAACACGATAAAAAAGAAAAGAAACATTTTAGAAAGGTTGTGGAGACGAAATGAATGAACTGCTAGACAGACTCGACATCCAAGAATTAATCCCAAGTCAAATTCTAAATTAAGTGCGCCCTACTGAAGGGCGGTTCTGGTTTCCATAGCTGCTCAGAATATGAGAAAAAGATTTTTTCTCATATTTCAAACTCATACTAGAAACCGGGTACAGCTAAGTATAAGGATATAAGGATGGAAAACACACGGCAAAGTCAATACACAGAAGAAAATAAAGCATTGCTAAGCAAAAAGTCAACATATTCACAACAATATCATATTCATCGGCTCTGAGGAAGACGAAGACGTCGAAACGTTAGCCGAAAATAAACATCATTATCAACCTCGTGTAAGCTCATCAAAGAAAGAATACATATTCACAACTCTTGAAATAATCACAGTTACGAATTTCCTTATGGATTCTAGTGACTTTAACATGTCTTCCACAATAGACAAAAACCACCAGAGATACCACCAAACCCATTTGTTTTTTCGAAATTACATAACCAGTTTGAAAAATTTAAAACTTTGCTTGGTAAAAATATCCATTTAACTCTGTAGAAGAGGAAATTAAACAGTAAAAGAACAAACTAAACACGATTCTATGCTGCAATCTTTAGTAACTACAGCAGTAAATGCAATCGAATAATAATTTCCGTCATGTTTTTGCAAGCTCAGTCGACTCTTTTTAAAGAAAGCTTTATTATTTCATGGCATTTTAAACTAGTGTAATCTACTGTGTCCGCACTCAATTCATGCCAGAAAGAAAGAATGAAAATGAAGAATGAAAGAAAAAAATCCAAGAGGTTTCTTTCAGATCCAGATGTTCATGTCGGGCCCTAGAAATAGATATCAACATCACCACTGAGAAACGTTAAGAATCCGTTTATGAACACAGACTGCGACGCAAGCTCCATAATCTTAGTTATAGGCATTTGAGCTTCAACGCGTTTATTATTGGAAAGATGGCAGAATACGGAAATAAACAATGGATGTGAAAGGCGGGTATATACGAATATCTGAGTGTTTAACGGGTGTACCTCCACATGCTATACCACCTCAACTTTGCAAACGGTGCTTTTTTTGGCATAACTGTGGTGGACATGGGAAGCCAATGATTTAAACCAGGAAGTCAAGTCAAGTCAGGAGTAAATCAGGGCCAGGTGTCTTCTGTCTTAACTCTGAAATAAACCTATTCACAAAACAGCAAACCTCCCGCTGACGCATGAAGGTCGGAAATTGCTGTGACAACGCCGAGAGGATGCCGTGACACCACAACCTCGTTAAAGGATAAAGGATAACGCTCTCGGTTTCGATCAACCCCAGGGGGATGCGGCAAGCATTCGACTTCATTTATTAACGATGGAGGTGACTGAATGCATATTTGGATTTTACAATGACTAGTAATGGCTTAATGATGTATCGAGCCAGTGCTACTATCTTCCCAGACAGGTCTGGTACCAATTTGCCGACCCCGGCGGGATGGAAAGCTTAGTGAACCTGCGGCCCAGGGATCGATTCCATGTTTATCGCACTGCGCTACACGCGCCTTTTTCGGCAATGATATAATAAATACTAATCCAGTAAATGGATGAATGGAATTTTTGTGGAATTGGAATGGAATTGTTTGGAGCATGAGGAATTCATTAAGTGGGAACCTTAGTAATAAGTCATTATAAAGCACCAGACAAAGAAGTCCATCTTCAAACCCACCCTTCATGTGCTTATTGGTGTATGGCTGTTCTTGGTTCGAGTATAGTTCCCGTACATATAGACTCACATCCAAGTTGTTAATGGCAACTTCCATGGACATTGCCAAGCACAACAATATTTGGAAGTGGATGTCACCACCGAAAGAATGATTAACAGACTTAAACAATAGACAGCGCTTAAACAGACTGCACTAAGTTTCTCACATAAGGAACAATCGCCTTACTAAGTATTTAGTACAGGAAATATTGCCCGACTTCTATTTAAAGAAATACACATTAATCTACTTAATGTACCTCCTTCATCTGCTGACCTATTGATCATCATTAATACAGCGCTGACAGTTTAGTACGTACTCTTTTGCAGAGCCTCCTTCTCTTTTCACTGAAATGTATTATTACGAACTATTATCAAATCCTGATGACAATCAAACGTCCACGAAAATATTAAGCAAGTAGGCAACACCAGAGTGTCGGATTAACCAGTTTCAACACAAATTCTAGAAAAGACAACTAAGATCATTTCATTCTGAGCACAATATAACTATACACAACGACCTGGAAATGGAGTCATCCGAATAATTGAACACTATCCCTCAAATCCTTTGACGAAAGGCACACCCACCCAGACATTTCTTCGATAAATAACATACTGTTGCCCTAAAATAGTTTTTTGGACCCACTACAGTCTCTGCAATTTTTGTTCATTAGAAAACCTATGGCAGTACACTTTTAGATACAGCAATTAAGGATCGGTTGACTAATGTGTAATATGTGCCACTGTTTGGCAAACTTGACAGTCTTGTTACTAAAACTTCTACTTTAATATAGTACTATAAAACTTCTACTTCTCCCAACGGTTCACCGCCTCATCGTGGCTGGAATGCTTTCATGGGTGTCGGGTTGCGATGTGCAGCGGGGAGATTCATTCCTCCGGCAGGGTCTCCTATGATGAGAAGGAGTCTGGCGTTTCCACTAGGAAGCCTAGCTAAGAGGAAACCAATACCATGATCACCATCGTTCTGGTATCAAACTAGATGCATGGTGATAAATCTCTCTCTGATTCACAAGGGCGGCAACTTCCTGTGGTAGTGACGACTTGGGGCAGACTTTGGCCAGGTTGACATTGGAACCCCAGGGAAACACAGTGGCTAAACCAGCAAAACTCCGGAATAATGGAGATTATGATGTAGCACGCACAATCAGTGAAGACGGGTCATCCAAGCAGTAAAGTATAAAACTTCTATTAAGGCTTTCATTATAGAAAGGCCATTTTCTTGTACGTAACGGCAAAACAGTCGACATTATCGCGAAATAAAACTCACCAAAAAAGTGGATTAAGTCCCTTTCTTCATCATAAATTCGTTCCTTGAAGAAATGCCAAGTGATATAGGCGTAAGAAAAAAGGCAGATAGGATTGCAAAGAATAATTTGAGTACCAATGCTCCACAAAAACCAACCTAAACCTTGCCTCATAATCGTATAACAGTTGGTTTCGCCAACCAACAGGTAGATACTAACCTGCATATCCTGGGTGGCGAAGGTAGGAATAGATACCGGTTGTGACCAATCGATGATCTGGACGTTTCGAGAGTGCTAACCGATGAGTGAAGCCATTTCCAGCGTGAAGCATTGCTAGCTTACGAATTACCTCACCGCACATACAAATGATGAATCCAAGCCCACTGATTGCGTAAACCTTTAGAAACGGCGTAAAGTGCACCTGTCAATTATAGGTATGATTAAACACAGAAGCGTAAGAGAAAAAACCTGAAATGTTAAGCAATTTATCTGTTCAGTGGCCGTTTAGACAACTTAAAATGCAAGCTCGGATAACATAATTGCCTTCAGTGATCAGGTTCGACTGATCCATACGCTAGAAAAATACCCACTTCGAATAAAAATTGTGTGGAACATGGGGAAAATGACAGTGTTTGATGAAAAACTAGTCAAAACTTTTCGCTATACTTCAACTTCATTTAATAGAACAGTGATCATCGGAATGTGTAGCTCTTTTGATGAAATCGAAGAGTTGAACCTAGTTCTTCAAGAATTATTAAACTCTCCTACTTCCAGGAAGAACTCCGTCCAACTTGCAAAGGCCGCGATCCAATATGCTGCCGAATGATTTAGTAGAAAGGAGTCAGGTTGTAGTGACCGACGATTTGATACAGCAGTGACGATGAATTCAGAAAAATGGAAGAGTGACAGGACGAAAGTGTAGCCACAGAATATGCCCAGCGGCGACGCTTTCCAATAAAACAGCAGAGTTGTCGATGCACCATTCAACTTAAGAACAGGTTGCATTGTGGAAAAATTGAAGAAGCAGGTTTTATAAAACAAACAAAAATCGTATACCAAGCCCAGAAATGTCGCCTGTAGAGCGTAGATCGGCTTCTGACCGTAGTATTTTCCACAAAAATACGCATTCAACATACAGACGACGAACGCCATGAAGAGCATCACCACTCCGAAAAACCACGACACAACCGCTATGGCGAAACTGATCACGAAGAAGTTCAAGCTCCCACGAAAATCGTTGTCGTTTCGGTACTGTCGGCATAGCGACATCCATGTGACTGGCATCTAAAATCACTACATTTTAGTCTCACGGTTTCAGGAGCAAAAGTATGTTTGTTGTAAAGAAAAAAAACAACATACAACGGAAGAGATTCACGAGGAATAGCAATCGTTATGTAAAATTGAATTTGTTACTCCCAAAAGTGCTACAGAATTGCAATTCTAAGTTCCAACTCCGACTTCAATGGGAATAACAATAATGTTCAGCATTTCTGACGACCAATTTATTAGATCTCCCAGCGGTTAACCGCCACATCGTGGCTGGGAGTTGTACCTGGGTGTAGGGTTGCGGTGTAGTACAGCAGAGAGATTTCCCCACAGAATCTCCCAAGCTGAGGATTCTGGAGTTTCCATCAAGAAGCGCAGCTAAGATTAAACCGATACCAGGATCCACCACCGTTCAGGTAACAAACTAGTCGCACAGTGGCAAATCTCCCTCAGATCGGTAAGGGAGGCGACTGCCTGTGGGGTGACGACCAGGGGCAAACTTTCGCTAGGCTGACCTCGAGACTTGAAGGAGCCACAATAGCTAAACCAACAAATCTCCGAAAACTGGAGATTGTGAAAACCATAAACTGCCATTTAACAACGTTCCACTTCTATCTTTTTCTTTTTTCGCTTTCCCTATATAATTTGAATGATTGAGAAGAATGTACCTAGTAGAGCTTCAGTCGATGACTATCAATTAAAAAAAGGAAATTATGGCTGAATTAAAAACCGCTATGATTTCATTTATGAGTCCTGAACTTCACTAAAAAAATGAATAAGGTCAATTTTGCCAAAATTAGATGAATTTAAAGAGTTGAAAAATGAACTATACTAAACAAGAAAGGAAATGACCACAGTAGAAGATGAAGAATGTGGAACAACGGTTTTTTCGCCTGCTCATACAAAAACAAAAGAAAGAAGGGAAAATCAAAGCAACTAAAGTACAACATTAGTACACTAGACAAAGGTGAGCTTAGCAAAGTAACAGTTCCTGACCTCCTTGCTATTAAATGTTAAGAATGTAGTCCTTCCAAAGAAATAGTTCCTGCATATAAGCTAACCAATTGAAACGGACGGCTGCTCGAAAAGTAGAAGAAACTCATCTGGAACCTAACCAGTGGGAATCTGAGGCTTTTAATATAAAATTGTAGAATAATCAACATTTATGAAAGAGATTTTAGTGAGAACACTATTCAATGTTCCTCAAAAACCTGACTTTTACACACTCTGTTATGAAAGGAAATCTGCCCGATTAACGGAAACCATTGCCCTTATCGCAATATTCTTGAACATTTACGAAGAGATGATCAACTTTTCAGGATGACGAAAAGCCGCTTCGAACTTCAAGGCTACATTTTGCCCAAGCATACTATTGACTTAGGTTCATGCACTATTTCTACAAGATATCTAAGCATATATATGAACATAGCGGCGCATGTGGAGCAGTGATCGGAGGCGCCATGGAATACATATGGGACCTACCTCCGCATCCAGGTCTCACCAAGCCTTCCATTCCTCCGAGGTCGGTAACTGGTACCAAACTCGTCTGGGAGTATAGCAGCACTGGCTCGATACATCGGTAGGCCACCGCGAGTTATTGTATAGGCCACATACGCATTCAGTCACCTCGAACGATGTTCAATGAAATTGAATGCATGGCACATCCCTCGGGGATTGATCAACGTTGTGAGCTTCATCCCTCTATCATTTATACACGAGCATAATCTGTACGCATATGTGAATGTGTATATAAGTACATATATATATATATATATATGTATGCACATATATAAGGGATTACGAATAAAGCTCCCGACGATGATCGATGCCCCACGCATTCGACTTCATTAGGCATTGTTAGCGGTAAATGGATGTGTACCTGGCCTACAATATTCTCCGAGAGAAGTCTGGTACCAATTTACCGACTGCAGAGGGATAGAGGGCTAGGGATGGAAGGCTTGGTGGACCTATGGAGCTGAGACCAACTGCATGCATATTGCAAGGTGCCTCCGACCACTGCGCTACAAGCGTTCGTAAATAAAGATACAGACGTAGAAACATGAATAAATAAATACACACGTGTATATATATATATATATATATATATATAAGGAAAGTTTAGACACACTAACCAGATAAGATTAGCGAGCGACTAAATGAGGCGGCGCGTGGGAGCGCGATGATATTGACGAATGCGCGCCGCGCCGCACATCGTCGTCATTGCGGCGGCCGCAATGACGCGCGCGGGTCGTGGGTGGCCGTCGCTCGTGAGGGGGTGGATGAGTGACTGGTCACGTGTCCCGAGCCAGGAGCGAGTCCGAGTAAGTGGAATGGAGCTGTTTCGTTTCAAAGTAGGGAGCGGGAAAACAGTTACATTCGCCATTAGAAGGAATTGTGACGTTTCACTAATTAGTGATCGACGTTCAGCTGTAAACGTCATGAATGGTACTGTGATAGCGAATCAGCTGATAAGCGTAAAGTTTTAGTGATATGCTAATAGTGATATGCAGGATAATACGTTGTGTTGAGCAATATGCTTCATGCATTCAACTCCATTCGTGCCGTCGCAAAGGAGATCATTTAAAGTTAATTTTTAATTTTTTCCACTTTGAACACTTTACTCAGCGGCAAACGTCATGAGTGGTACTGTGATAGCGAATCAGCTGATAAATCAGCTAGATCGAATTAGCTAAAGTGTTCAATAAAAAATATGGTAGTAGCAACGACTACTACGTTAGTTCATCCAATGCGAAATGGAACTATGAGGATGCCGAGATATTTGCAAAACTCTGACCCCAGCCGTCTGGAAGACAAAGCAAAGGCCTCAGTGGTGCACGGAGTAACAAGTGATTCCCCTGGAAAGAGTAATCGTGGATTCGAATCTGGACTAGAGTATGGGTTTTGCAAATATCTCAGCGTCATTGATGTTATACATAGATACTTTAGTGATAGATAACTTATCAGCAGTTGCAGAAAAACAAACACAGACGCAGCTATGTTGAACTTCGATCTCTAAATCATATTTCCCAGCTTCCAACTTCATTATTAAAGAAAAATCCACTAGAACCTAAACAATTTTGCCAACAATACTGAAATCTCATTACAGTTAAATTGCAGACATCTGCACATATACGAATCTTCTGGAGAGATTTTAATCAGCAACTTGGTAGCATTGGATTTTCTCGGCGACTAAGCTGTTAAGATGTTTGAAGGAGTGCCAGACGATCAGCAGAGAGTTCGGCGAATACTGTGGATGAAGAGAAGCTTCGTTTTTCAATTGCTTAAACTTTTACATAAGAAATCATTCCTGGGTATTGTTACAAAACTTTTACAGTTCTAACTACTGGAAGTTAGAAACGCTGCAGTGCTTCATTTATTTGTTGACAGTAAATCACTGTTGAATTCTGTTGGTAGGAGGACATTGTGGATATGCCAGGTCTTGTGCACCAGAACACCGGCATAACATTCTTCTCATAAACATTTAGCATAGAGAATGTGCTTCTGTGTTTAATCTTTGGCCAGCTTTCTTTATGATATTGTGGGTCTTAGAAGAACCTAACACTAGCAAAATCTCTCCTCCCAACGGATTACCGCCTCATCGTGGCTGCAAGGTGCTCCTGGGTGTCGGACTGCGATGTACCACGAGGGGATTCATCCCCCCGGCAGGGTCTCCCAAACTGAGTAGTAGTCCACCGTTCCCATCAGGAAACCTAGCTAAGAGTAAACCAACACCAGAATCCACCACCGTCCTGTCCTGATATCAAAATCGCATGGTAGCAAATCTCACTCTGATCCAGAAGGGCTGCGACTGTTTGTCGCGGTGACGACCTGTGGAGACTGCCCAGGCTGTCTTCGGGATTCCAGGAGCCACAATAGCTTAACCAGAAAATCTCCGAAAAATGGTGATTATGCTAGGACCCGCACAACTAGTGAGGACGTGCCGTTCAAGTATCAAGTAACTAAAAAAAAAAAAGTACTGAAAAGTACTTACTAAAAAAGTAAGTAAGTAAGTAAAATAACTAAGTAAGCATAATCTCTTAGACCACACACCTTTGTTTTGCCAGAAGTTTACATTTCAATAAGTTGCATAGTATTGTATTAACTTACATAGAGCAATATCGCATGGAGTTAGGATTTTACTACTTGATATCATGATATGAACAAATTTTATTTCTCTAGAATCCATCGGTTGTCTAAGGACAGTAAACTTACTCTCTACTTCAGGGTTGCTTCACCTTTCAAGGCATCCAGTTTCTGCAGAGATCACCTTTCACAAAACAGTTTAGTTTCTGTAGTTTTACCACTAAATCAATCAAATGCAACTAGACGACTCTGTTTACAGCGCAATAACTTTCAAAGGCATAGCAGAAACGCCAAAACTCGATTGCCAGATTTATTCTCTGCTCACAGTTTTCTCGTTCCGCTGAATAGACCCCATTAGAAAACTCTCGAACGCGGCAAAAACTAATGATGACATTTCTGGAGCCTCCTAGGAGAGTTCGATAACAAGAAATACAGCAAACATGTGACAAGGTGTTTGTTAGCATTTGAAACTCCTCATGAGGCAAATCATCTATTGAATAAGCTACGCCGCATAGTGAAAAGATCTACTTAGAGAAAAGCACTCAACGACAGCGCCACTACACGCATCGACATCAATGCATTTACTCCCCAACTTTACTTTGTAGTAGAGAGTTTATTTTCTACAGTTTCTGCATTCAACTGATAGCCTATCCATCACAAACCTTGTGCCACAAGCAGTCAATGGAAAGCTATCCTCTGCACATAACCTAATTCAATTCTTTAACTAGGGTAGGTTTTTCATTAAAATTTTAGTTTGTGTAGTTTCTCTCTCTTTGCTTTTCGTTCCGTTTTCTTTTCTTTCTCGCTCATTCCTCTTTCTTTCCTTTCTTCTTCCTTTTCTTTTCGCAGCTTAATTTAAGTTTGTAATTTACAACATGCGATTTTTCAAACAAACGTTTCGCTAAACATTGCGGCGACGAAAAAATTAGACTCAGTCGCGTCTCCACTGGGAAAAAAGAAAAAAGCTTTAAAAAAGTTGCTACAGTAATGAGAGTGCCAAAATTCCTGATTACTGCTTTCCGAATTTCGAAGCACTCCAGAGTACAGTATCACATCAGTTATACCTATGCAGTTAGATGTAGTTCAGGGCCCTTAAACGACTGAGCAAAAAGCGTGACGGAATGGTAGAGATAACCGTCTCAATCAGTCAGACAGTTCCATGGAACGAAAACACACGATTATAACCAATACGCAAAGTTGAATTCTCAGTCAGTGCTAGTATACTTTGTAGTAGAGAGTCATACTATGAATATATACATTTAATACAGTGCTAGAGATGCCATTTTTACCTGGAGAGTACGAAGAAAAAAAGGACAATCGATTGAGTTTATTCAAACGGCACATAAGAGATGATTAGAGGGAAAATGGAAAAAAAACTATAAACCTTGGATATCAGATGGCTGGCTAAGATCATAGATTATATCGTAAACTACTCTAGTGATATCAATGACGAAACATGGCGCAGTTGATCACCATGGCTACTAACAATTGCAGGCAGTTGTTATAAGTAGCACAGTTATTTCTAGCACTGTTCAGGTGAACTCGTTAATATTACTATAGTAGAAATTCCACACCTCGATTTCCAAACGTCGTGTTACTAAGCAAGGTGAAAAAAATGCATAAAAATAGAAGTGAAAAAATGTTACATAACAATACAATGACTTCACATGGACATACCGTACCTAAGGTCTCGATTCACCGCGGCACTTTCTGGAATAACATAGGAGTTGAATACGGAGTATTAGTGCTAATGCCACAACAAACTAGAAGATCTTACTAGAATTTGTTTAAATGAGCAACTGAGAAAAGTGCCTTGAGGTTATCAACAACCATTAAAGCCTTACTATCAGGATTGTGCGAAAAGCTGAGATTACAAATCACATATAACACAACCGTCCAAACGGTTTACCGCTTCATCGTGGCTGAGAGGTGATCCTGAGTGTCGGGCTACGATGTGCAGCGGGAGGATTCATATCCCTGGCAGGGTCTCCCAAGCCGAGAAGTAGTCTGGTGTTTCCATTAGGAAGCCTAGCTAAGGGTAAACCAATACCAGGATCCACTATCGCCCCGGTATCAAAGTCGTATGGTAGTAAATCTCCCTCTAATCCACAAGGGATGCGACTGCCTGTGGTGGTGAAGACCGAGGGAAGACTTTGGCTAGGCTGACCTCGGGATTCCAGGGAACCATAATGGCCTAACCAGCAAACCTCCGAAAAGTGGAGATTATGCTGGGGCCCGCACAACCACTGAGGAAGGGCCATTCAAGTATTAAGTAGGTAAGTATAACACAACTCTGAAACAATACTTCCTCTGGTCTATCAAAATCATACCAAACAATTTCTCGTCATTCTCCAACTGTTTTCAAAGTAATATGAATAAAGCTGGTTTCTTTAAAACCTATATTTGTACAGTTTAATTACTATTCTTCTTAAAAGCTCGATGATACATCATTGCGAGGACGTTTCGTTGGCGTCGGACACCATCATTATCAGAACACCTATTAACACAGCCAATATACCCAGATATTTACGACGATTTAGGACACGCTCCCCTAAAAAAAGTGAACCTACTGGCATAAAAACAAACTGGAACCTCTAAATAATAAACAGACGCTTACCAATCAAGTGACCAACAATCGCAGTGAAGACAAACTGGAGGGCATTAACACATGGAACAATTACGGAGACGGGGAAAGTGGAAACCAAATAAATAAACATAACCTGAAAACATATAAAATATAAAGTGGCCTGTAAAAGTAAAAGGGCAGACCACCAAATCGAAAGATTGTAGATTACACCGAAACTTAATGAACTGGAAAAGAACAAGAGGAAAATTCCAGCGAATAGGGAAGATTTTAAACTCACTGAAGCGCTTTGGTTAACAATAAACGGTACAGAAAACCTCCAGTTCAGGAAAAGAGCCGTCAACTCACTCAAAGGAGACAACATCTGGCGCCACATATTTGTAGGACTTGTCGTATCTGAAGATACTAATTATTGACCCACTGCAAACAATATTTTGAAACTAAGAACAGCCACAACGTTGCTGAGATATTTGCAAAACTCTGGACCGCAGGTGTCTATGGTGGGGAACGAACGCGCTATTATCACCATAGACACCTGCGGTCCAGAGTTTTGCAAATATCTCAGCAACATTGTGGTTGTATTTCGCTTAGTAACCTGCCATGAAAATTATAGAAGGCAGAAAACAAAAACGTTAAACTAAGAACAGCATCAAGAGTGAGGAGCGTTTTGGACCATACAGCCTTCACCCAGCAGAAGAAAGATGTTCTAACTTCAATGATGCTGAGATGTTTGCAAAACTCCGGACCGCAGCTGTCTGCGGTAGGGAACGAACGCACTATTGTCCTTTCCAGGAAGTAACGCTTTCACCACCACACCATACGAGTCCTTCGCTTCGCCTGTCTCTCAGCTAGTTCTATCGATCACTGCCATCAGCACTTGTAAAAGGCAGTAAATAAAAAGTGAACATTGTGAATTTCAATTATAGCCTCAGTTTAACTGGGTTCAATGCCGATTTGGGCTCCCCAGATCAATCCCGCTGATGGGTGATTGCCGATGGCAAAAGATCAACAGAACAAGCTGAGAGACAGACGAAACGATGGAGCCGCATGGTGTGGTGGTGAACGCGTTACTCCTCGGAAAGGACAATAGTGCGTTCGTTCCCCACCGCAGACACCTGCGGTCCGGACTTTTGCAAATATCTCAGCATCATTAAAGTTATATTTCGCAATATTATACCCTGCCGTTAAAAAGAGCAGGCAGTAAATAAAACGTTAAAAAAGATGTTCTATTTCAGTATGGTTTGTAGCAATCTTTCTGTACTCATTCTAGTCAACGCTGCCGTATCGAGGACTCATTCGGGGTCAGAGAAATGAGGTGCACCTACTTTACTGTGTTTAGATGCGTATGAAGAACAATCAATGGACAACAGCCGCTAGTGACCGGATTCCTCGGGATGTCAAACGTATTGCAGAAAGGTTACCAACCCCATAGTCAGAATTCTTCACGAAAACCCTAGGAGAAAAATTGGAGCACGCGACAGGGAAAAATGGAAGATTTACTGGCGTCCACTCGAGTCACTCAACAATCCACGATGCAACAAGTGATACAAGCGATCATCTGCAGTAGTTTCAAATCAACAAGAATAAAGCCGTCTCTTTTAAAACCTATATTTGTAAGTTTGAGTATTACTCTTCTTAGAAGTTCGATGATATATCGCCGTGACGATGCATCGTTGGCATTGGATACGGATTGGGAGTAGCGCACTGGTTAGTGATGCCGTCGATAGGGAAGAAAAGAAGTTAGTTGGACCTTCTCCCCAATACTTTCCTCCAGTCTAATGGGAACGCCTTAACCTGGCTATCTCCAAAACTGCAAGGAGAATCGACTCGAAAAGCCTTGTACAACATTCATAAAAAGACGAAATCCTCAAGCAGCAGCCAAAACAATAGGTGAAAATGTCGGAGAACTTTGTGGACGATGAATAGGAGGAAAAGGAATTGAATACAAGTGCTAGGATCCGCACAGTAGACGTAATGACGGGTCAAGCAAACAAGAAGAAAAAAAGAAACGTTTGTAATTCTCTGTTACATAATCCACAAATAACATGAGTTGACGGCTTACTGTTAGGTAAGATTTGATGAATTTTGTTTATCATGTCTGGTGTTTGTCCCTGGGTATGTTGAACTGTGATGCGCAAGGTACCAATCCCTAATTGGGTAAATCGAGCTAAAGAGTTCGAAAATTTTATCCAGATAATAAATACAAAACACCTGCCCAAATAAGGCCTGAAGGGTTATCAGTTGATACTATCTCGCTCCCTCGGGTAAGCTCAACAATTTAAACACAATTAAAAACAGAGTTAAAAAATCGGGTTAATGTATCGGCTGCGACTTGAGGATCCTCTTTCCCCTCCGTTGATTACTAATCAAGCGCTATTTTCTTTGCGACTTAGAGCTAGCCGTCCACCGCTTTTTCAACGTCGTCACTTTTATTCGGTCTAATGACTTCGTTTCTACCAAGCTTTCCTAGAATTAGTCGACCGATGAACACACTCAGGACGATTTAACAAGTCGAATCCATAAAATGATAAAATGCTTGATGGACTTTTGAACTTCCCTAATATGACAGTTGGAAAGCAAGCAGAACTTTTCTGGTTATTCCTCGATCACACTGTTGCCTTCTTATCAATGTCCTATCTAATTTTTAAGATTCTATATTCTATTTTGTTCCATTTCCACATCACAAATAAAAAGTAGTGAGTGGATATAAGACAGTTCCACCTTCTATAAAATCTGTTCACGGCAGATCGGCAAAATATGCATTTAGTCCAGTTAGTTAGGCGTTAGCGCATTAAGGAACGTCTAGTTCATATGACCAATGAACGACATCTTTCGAAACTTCGAAATGCTATATATAGTGAACTGATAATTTACTTGGATACATGGACGGCCCGTCCTCACTGGTTGTGCAGATATCAGCATAATCTCCATTTTTCGGAGTTTTGCTGGTTTTGCCATTGTCCTTCCATAGAGAGCCGAGATTAGCCTGGCCAAAGTCTGCTCCTGCTCGTCTCCACCACAGGCAGTTGCTGCCCTTGTTGATCAGAGGGAGATTTGCCACCATGCGACAAGTTTGATGGATTCTAATAATGGTTTACTCTTAGCTGGGCTTCCCGTAGGAAACGCAGGACTCCTTTCAGCTTAGGAGATCCCGCCTGGTGGATAAATCCCCCAGCTGTACATCGCAGTCCGACACCCACGAACACCTCTTAGCCACGATGAGGCGGTAAGCCGTTGGGTGATGAACTCATAAACTGCTCACAGTATTCAGATAGACGCACAGTCTTGTAGTTCTTTGTAGTTTAGTACATAATCACTATCTCCTAGCGAACTCTAGAAGCATTGTGGATAAACTTCAAGAATCCGAAAATTAACGGCAAGTTGGAACGCCTCGTAATTGCACGTGGTCTCACACAGTATTATAGAGTGATATTATAACGTAGGAAGAAGATTATAACGTTAGAATTTCATGTCAAGTCTGTGCGTTTGGTCTCCACGTGAAATACTCAGTGGAAGTCTCACATGAAGCAGTGAGTGTGCAAAGAAGGTATTTTGTTTGAAAAGCAGTTGAAATTTTGGTTTAGCATGTTCCCTGTTTGGTTACAGAGATGTTTCGCCAGATAGATTGCAGCCAACTTGACCTTTCCAGGCTCTAAGGAAAGCGAGATTCGCCGAAATGTCAGCTTCTTCACAAACAAAGAATATAGTAATAACCTCGTCTTTGCTCATCAAGGAAACAGTGAATTATTCGATCAATACCGAGGTTAACAGAAGGTTTGCCGTGGGATTACTATATCCTGTGTTAAAATTGAGTAACAACACGACAACGACCTATAAAAGGGTTTTATCTTCTTGAGAAGCTCTGATCTAAATCTTAGAGAATAAGTTGTTAAACAAGAGAATCTCGAGATTTTGTTCTAAGACGCACTACCTACAGTAGGTGATTTCGTTATCGAAAATTAGGCTTCTTTCAATAAGTGGTGCAGCACGATAGCCATAAAAACTACGGCATCAGAGTGGATTTCTCGTAGTGCTGCAGTCAACCATTTCATTCCCTCATTTTTCCAACTAGATAACTAAGTAAGACTATTTACTTCTCACATTCGATTCCTTTCCTCGCATCCATTGTCCACGAAGATCCTCAAATTTTATGTGTGGCTTCGGCTGGTGCTTAAGGATTTCGATTTCATCTTGAATGCCGTTGAATGTTGGTCGAGCAATTCTCAGAGTCCTGAGATAGTCGGACTGGAGCGTTCCCAATTTGATTGCAGAGAGCGATTTTTGGCAGACAACTCCTGTATCAATTTTCCGACCCCGGAGGGATGAGACTTACTTGACCCGGAGCGGAGTCGAACTAGCATCATGCTCCTGATGACGAACATCACTACAACTGTGCGATCCGCCCCGTACTAAGTAGTATACGAGATGGAACCTAAATTTTAGAAAATTCTAGGATCTACTTTCTGTTAACCACGGCACTGATCAATAACTTACAATTTTCTTAATAAGCAGATACGAGATTGTTACTGTAATGTGTACTTTAGGATAACTAACGTTTGGGTGGTTTTCGCCATCTTCAGAGAATGAAAAGATCAATTTGCTGTGGAATCTGTTCACCTATGTACTTCCATAACCCCAACAGAAAAACGCTACACCTAACCTTAAATGTTTTTTGAAACAGCCTCTTCAGAGACTCTCCATTATCTATGAGTCCTGCACTTGTTCTTGTAAATGATGAAGACCAACAGCACAAAGTTTACGTAGGTGAAGAATGTGCCTCTCTTAGGTTAATAAATCAGTGTCAGATATTGCGTAAAGTCATGCGTGATAACAAGCGTTCCTTCCTGCGGTTCATTCCTGGATTTTCTGAAACTTACATTTTTCCATTTTACATGACCCCGTTACCACACTCGCTGTGGGAATCCCAACCCAACTTGCATTCGATTCGTTTTACTCCCATTCATCCTTCACACTGGCCTTTTAACATTTCGCGTATTCTTTCTGCTACAGGTTAAGGATTTCGTCGTCTTTATGAATGCCGTAGAATGTTGGGCGAGTCAATAATCTTGCAATATGAGAGATAGCCGGGCTAAGGCGTTACCACGTGGATTGTACGAGAGCTTTGGGACGGTGGGATCGAGCTAGTGACTTTTGCTTTCCGGTCGACGGCATCATTAACCACTGCACTATCCCGCTTTATTTTCTCTGGAATTTCTTTTTTGGAAATCTTAAAGAACTAGAGAGTTTTGTGCGCTAAAGTTATAGCTTCCAGTGTGGAAATATTGACTTTTACTTCAAAGTCTCCGTTATGTTTCTGTATCCAACGCGTGGACAGTGGAGTGCTTCGTTTAACTTAAGGTTTTCTTTTACACGGACACAGTGTGGCCAATCCGTTTCGCCAAGTATTCTTTACAGCATGATTTACACGAGATTAGGTACATCATCATTACCAAAACCCTTGTAATCATTGCCCCTACCGCTCTGTTATGTAATTTTGATCCTTAAAAACAATATTAATGGCAGGGGTAAAAAAAAAGAACCTCTAAGTAAGTTGTCGTTCAAAAACTGAGAAGAGAACAGCATAGAATCGAAAGGGTATAACTTTCTTGACACTCATCATGACCGCCAGCTCGTGAAAGCTATAATCAGGGGAAGCGATTCTCAAATACAAATGAACCGACAGTGAGTGTCGTGTGCAGCATACCCCCGGAAAGCAAGCAAACACAAAGTAATTTTTCATTATCACATAGCCTGCCGAGGTACATGTTGCAAATTTATAAAATTGCAGGAAAAATGTGTTAACTGTAGAGAATGCAGATTTAAAAAAACCATGAACATTATGCAAAAAGTGCAAGTTGTAAGAATAAGGGAGCTGGTAGCATAGTGTAGGATAGTGATAGTGATGCCAGTCATTATGAGCACGGTGGTGGTTCGATCTCGCTTCGGTCTCACCAAGCCTCTCATCACTCCGAGGTCGGAGGATAGGTACCGCGCTTCTTTGGGCAGAAATCACTCTGTAGTTCAAGTGGAAACGCTGTAGCCAGGCTATCCTAGGCCTCCAGTAATAAATCCACCTGACGAGTATTCAGAGATTTTCAAGATGAAATGAAAATTCTCAAGCAGCAGCCGAAACCTTAGTAGATGATGGATGTGAGGAAATGAACTGAATGTGAGAAGATCTGCATAGTAGGTGTGAAGACGGGCACACTGTGTGGAAACTCACAGGTGAACGGATAGACTTTCCATACAGCATAACTTTGTTAGCGTTGAGTGTGCAACTATATTACATCTGCACTCATATAGGTCTCTTCAATGACCTATCATCTTATGGTAGTGGAGAAATGACCTCACGTGACGAATTTCAGCCCTCGGACACAGGAATGGCGATATCCGTATCCTCGTTAATGACTAGACCTTGAGTTGGTGATCTTTTTCACCAGAAACAGTCTCTTACCACCTAAGTAGCCGAAAAAAAGTTTTTTCGCAAACTATTGAATGAAACGCACGTAGTGCAGTGGTAGTGATGTTATCTGACCCGTATGAACATTACAGCGTCCGTTGCGGTTCTGAACCGAACGACAGTATGAACACTATAGTGTCTATATTCGGTTTAGTGGATTTCATAGCACTCAACCGCACTATGTATATTCATTCGATGGTCAATCGACAGCAGATCGAAAAGGGAGGAAAGCCTGGGGTCCAAGTTTCGCGAATATCTCAGCATAATCGTGGTTGTCGTTCACAGCATACCTTGCCGTGAAAAAACAAAAGGCAGCAAATGAAAAGTTAAACATTCTAATTTATTGCTCCTCCCAATGGTTTACCGCCTCATCGTGGCTGCGAGGTGCTCCTGGGTGTCGGGTTGAGATGTACAGCGGGGATTCATCTCCATGGCAGGATTTCCCAAGCTGAGGTGTCCGGCGTTTCCATCAAGAAACCTAGCTAAACCAATACCAGGATCCACCACCGTCCTGGTACCAAAGTCGCACGGTGGCAAATCTCCCTCTGATCCACAAGGGCTGCGGGTGCCTGTGAAGATTTGGGCCAGACTTTGGCAAGACTGACCTAGTGATTCTAGGGAACCACAATGGCTTAACCAGCACATTTCCTAAAAATAGAGATTATGCTGGGGCCAACACAACTAGTGAGGACAGGCCATTCAAGCATCAAGCATTAATTACTGCTACTTCATTTTAATCACCATGGTCATCGTATAGAATATGCAGATATAGGAAACAGCAAGATGGACTTGATGTGGGGTAAAAAATGATTGCAAGTGCTGGTAGAAATTTACTTGCATAATGATAATAATGCAACACAGAATAATTGAGTTCCCTCGCTATTGAGATTTTTATTGTCAAACGACCAGATAGACCGCTTCCGACGAAAAACTGCTTGTACTCGATTCAGCCACCCAAGGCAAACGGCGCCCGGGCTCGATGGGTTAATACACTCAGGATCACAATTCGACCCTGCTCCGGGCCAACCAACAACCAAACTTCTCATCCCTCCTGGTTGCGAAATTGGTATCACGTCTAGCCGGTAAGCTCCACTCAATCCACATGAACTGAGAAAGCCATAGCACGGCTATCACAAGATTCCACAGAGAGTCAACTCGATCAGCATTTAAAGACATGCATGAAGAAGAAGCCACCGAACCTAAATGGGAAACTCGAAGACCGCGGGCGACATATGAGAGGAAACGAGCCGCATGAAAGAAGGGCTAGGTTTCGCATAATATATGATGCAGGATGACGTAATAAAAAAGAATTAAGTATAGAGAATAGCCTCTGTCGGCCGAAGCCAACCACAGTTGGATATGTTAGCGGCTGAATAGAAAAGGTATAGGAAAAATCCATTGTGTGGCAAGAAACTGAAAGAAATGAGTGGAGAACAATTCATGCGGACCTATTTACCTCACATACGTGAGTGGAAATCCACTCATATCGGACTTCAAATCCAAAAAAAAACCTATAAAAACATGGATTTAGGCAAAATTTCCATGTTTAGTAAAAGCTAAACATTACATGAAAACGATGCCGTACACTATTAACACATAGTTCACCTTTTCTTCCAGGACTGGATCTTGATCCGAGTCGCAACAATGGATTTGTCGCTCCCCAGAGAAAGCCAACGATCAGTATCGATAAAACACATTCCAGGGAATAGTGAGAAGAGCTTCCCACAAAGTTACCAAACATTGAAATCTGTTTGCAACTTATATACGGTCCCAACGGAATAGATTTCTGAAGTCTTCATAAAGAAACACAAACCGACTACAACAGAGGAGGACCAGGACGTTCCAGCCGTGGTATTCTTGCCGCAATTGCGTCCACCACGTAAAAATTAGACGTCAGGGATCGCCTGTAATCGTGGAAGATTGTAATGCTTTGGTAGATTTCCCTTTTTTTATCGTTTTGGGAACTAGTTGGACTACTGTCATGTGTCATTAGCTCTTTTTACTCGTTTCCATCTGCTTTCCGTATTAATTATGTCCTGAAGTACCACTGCTACTCGAAAAGTTGACTTATTCTGTTACAGAGGCTTCAATCACTCTTCCTAAGGAAGATATCAGGTCGCTATGATGGAGGGCATACCTCGTGTACCAATGTTGTATCCAGAGCCAAAAGTTCCAGCGAATCAGTACGACGAGGATTTCCGTTTGAGGATTAAAGAAGCAAGTATTTAGCACTTGTACTTTTCAACTTGTCAGTACTATTGGGTGATTTTTCAGTACATTTTATTTCATTATAAAGACGATCCAAGCAAATATGACGGTGCTATTACGGAAATCATGAATATGAAGCAGGTCGGTTTGTCGTTTGCACTCTCTTCTATCGGACAGCTTTCTGGCACTTTGCCGCAAAGTAATGTTGAAAGGAAAATGATAGGTGTTGATCGGCTATGTTGAACTTATGTCGTTTGTCGTTTCATTATTAACTTCTCTTCTCCAGTTTTTTGCACTGAGCGTTGAATGTTCTCCAGACTATAAGCAGCTCTTATGCCGATGTCGAAACTGCATGTGTACTGAAGCGTTATTATGCTCAATTGTTGATGATGAAGAACCGCTTTCCTATGGAAGAAGGCGATTCCATAAAGGTTTTGTACTGTTGGTACGTTCATGTTCTTCAACTATTTGCTACCGTAACTACGTTCCTCCTTGTGGGCATTTCCTACACTAAGTAGAGGGCCTTGGTAACACAGTGGTTGTTTCTATCCAGTCTTCCGTAATCAATAAAGTTGTACCAGGCTAGTATGAGAAGACAAAAGCAATGACCTGGTAGGTCGATAACCTTCCACAGGTCGTCGTATGGGTTAACCCATTCCTCCCCGTATGGCTTCCCTAGTGTCCATAACGGTTTCTACCAAACGACGCTATGGACACTATGGTGTCCTAATTCGATTTGGTGGGCTTCATAGTTTTTCTTTTTTTTTTTACCTCACTATGTGTATTCATTCGATAGCTAGTCGAAAGCGTTTGAACTGGATGTGTGAGACCAGAAAGGCCATTTTCTACACTCATTGGTTTACAAAATACCTTTCTTCGACAACGTTTACTGGGTGGTAATTTGAGTAACAGTTTATTGTTACGTTTAACTTCTAATCTATTACCTGTTATTTTTTCTTGGGAGGGTATTATTTGATACCCATCCGATAAAGTTTTGCAAACCTCTTAGCATCATTATGGTTGTATTTCACATAAAACACTGCCATGAAAAATAAGAGGCAGTAAATAAAAACTTAAACATGGTGACTACCACTGTATCCACAGCTTAACTGCTTTCAGTGCCGTTTTGTGCTCCCCAGATCAATCCCATTGTCGAGTGATTGCTAACAGGTCCTCTACGGTTAAAAAACTGGCTGAGAAAAAGGCAAATAAAAGGCTTTAGTGTTGGAATGGGTAAAACGTGAGCTCTCGAATAGAGTAGGTAAGGGTTCGAAGTTGGCCAGGTGTCCAAGTTTTGCAAATGTTTCGGCATCGTTTTAATTTATTGTTGCTTCACTGTTCTCGCTATGATCATTGTATAGAATGTATGGGTGTGTAAATGCCGAATTAGATTCAACATAGACTGCCAGATGCTGATAACAATACATTTGAATTATGGACCATAATTGCACATGGTAAATAGTAGCATACATATCAGTCGTATCTATAAAATGATGGACGGAGATCTCTTATACAATCCTCTCACGTTCTGAACCCCACGAGTCCTCTTATTATTGAGAAAAGATTTTCCATTGGCAAAAAAAGTCAGAAAGTCCACAGCCGACACGAAATTGCTCGTATTGGGTTGGACAAGCCATGAAAAATGGTGCCCGAGGCGGATTAGGTTAAATATGCATTAATTCTGCTGTGCTGGAATAAGTCGGATTGTTGCACGTTTATAAGGAGCTGATCTGGACACCAGAAGATTTATCGTTTATGCTTCATCGTAGTTACTTACCTGTTCATTTTATTCTCAATATTTTGCAACTTTCTGCTGGTGTTTTTCGTATACGTGGAGTAACTTGGTTTTCACAGTGTAATCACCTTTTCTTTCACTGCTTATTCTTTTTTCGTGGCAAGGTATGATGTGAAATTCAACTTTAATGATACTGTAATATTTGGGCAATCACCAGCCAACGGAATCCGGGAAGCACAAATCGGCATTAAGCCCAGTTAAGTTGAAACTGTAGTATAAATCACAATGTAATCACTTTTTTGCCTATAAAACACGGCTGAGAGGAAGACGAAACGAAGGACACGCATGGTGTGGTGATGGACACGTTAACCCTTGGAAAGGGTAGTAACGAGGTTCGATCCCCGCCGTAGACACCTGCCAACCGGTGTTGCAGATATCACTATGTTATTTTAATTGTATCTCGTTTTTATTTCTAGGTATGATAGGGCAATGGATATTGCCCATTCAGCTACCTATGAAGACGTAGGTTTTGAACTGGCTTGTGTCATGTACAACATTGGCGCTGTACACGGGAATATCGCCATAAACGAAACAAGGGAAAATGAAGATGTGTGTTGAAAATATTCCATATGAGTTTGCAATAAAACAGCCGTTTTCTCCATCAGTTCTGAAATACTTGATTTCGATTCTATGCTCATTTTTTGTTCAGAGCATCAAAAACGCATTTATGCATTTTCAATACGCAGCGTGGCCACTGCAACATCTTCGCGACAATTTGAACGCTTCGAAATATGCTTCCATTGATTTTGACAAGGAGTTACTAACGTTCTTCATCAAAGTTCTCTTGGTACGGTTTCTTGTTGTTGGATTTTCCTTAATCTTTTTCGTAATCTGCTCTATCCAATTTTCACCGATTTACAGTGAAACAGTAAGGAGCGTTGTAGTCAAAGATACAAAGAAATCTCCTTGTATTGTCCTATTTTTAGGGTCAAGCTCAAGAATGTTTATTGGAAAAGAGTCTAATAGATCATCGTAGCAATGTAGTTGTAACTAAACTTGCCGTACATCTACGCGACAGATATCAGGAATGTTTGCGTCATCTTGAGAATTCTAATCTGTGCGACTACGTTTCCTCAAAGAAATTCAAGGTTAGATCGTGCACCTATTTGTTGTTTGACAACAATGTTTGGTGATGGTCGATTTTCTTTCTCGTACTATTTCACTGCAGTTATGGACAAGAACGTGCGCGATTAAAAGTGAAATGTACGGCTGTATAGCGATGATCCACATGGGATGTCAAGCAGATGAGGATAAAAAGATGGGGATGAGGTTGAACTGCTTTTTTGCCGTAGTGTATTGAAAACACACTTTCGAAATTGTTTTTGGCTTCTGTGAATCGCAATTATATTTAATATGTATAGTCCGTAGGAGTAGAACGTCGATAGCTTTAACTCGATTATCTACCCCCTGTACCGGAAATCTGTCATATTTGAAGGTACGGCTACTATAAATTAGCAGATGATCATCTAAGCTCAATTATGAAGTTAGCAGAAAAGGAAGATCGAGAGTCGATGAAGGCTTCCATATCCTTCCTCGCTGATGTTGTCGTTACAAAGTATGCTTTGTAGTTGCTCATAAAGTGTAACAGTTACAATACGTTTCTAGATTTTGGTTTCTTTTTCGCAAGTGCTCTTTAAGTTCTAGTTTTGTTTCATTTTTTATAGTTAAATTTTTCACGGATCCGGTATAAATTTCAGGTTAAATAATGCGAAGAAAGAGAATGAATTCATCTTCCATGATCGAGTTCCGAGTTCGCAAGAGCTTTGTGAAAAACTAGAGGTAGTTGTGTATTTCTTTTCATTACTATTTCCTTTTACTTTCTCGAATTTCAGGGTCTGTGCAAGGTACGACCTCTATCTTTCGATCCACTCGACATATCTGTAGGAGGCGAGGACTTGTTCGGCGCATTACTGCCTGCAGGGGTTATAAAAGCTGTGTCTGAGTACGAGGAGGAGAAGGATAGGCTGAAACGTGAAGTAGTAGAACGAGTCAGTAGAAAGGACGATGAATTGAAGTGGGTCTTTTTTAATCAGTACCGTTTTGTATTAATCATCAAGCAATTTGAGCGCAAACTGATGACATCTATTCATTCTTGTTACACATCGTGACTTCTTAGTGGACATGCCTTTCTAAATAAACAGTTGCAAAGAACGTAGCATTTTTATTGAGTTGTGCTGCGGCATAGATTTATCTTTGTTGGGTTTTCGTGTGTAAATATCGAACTCCTTGGCTAGGGTACCGCTCTGAAGTGGCGAACTCCAATTCATGTCGTTTTTTGACACGAAAGGCCATTTTCATTCGTGATGATGCAGTAAACCATTGAGAACGGGTTTTATTTCGTGCCATGATTTGTGCGCATTAATAAGGTTTGTCAAGTCAATTATTTGCAGTGCCTTCCTGGTTTCTTTGCGCATAGATGAAATTGACTTGGAAGTGGATTCGGCAGCTCCTAATTTTCCCGATATGTTGCTTGAGAGAAATGCAGCTCTAACAGCTCAACCAGATGCTATACCGAAGCTGCTTGAAAACTTACAGAGTGGGTGCAATGCAATTAGACAGCTTTTATGTCTTTAGTTTCTAGTGGAAACTGCGTAACTCAGTTTTCTGAGTTATTTGATTGCAGGGGTTAGTGACCTTGCTCGTGAAGCGGATACAAAGCTTGGTGAACTAACAGGGCGTATGAGTGATGTAGACCTTCCTCAAATTGTGAGGTTGTTTTGATATTGGTCACTTTATACTCGTAATATGTACTGTTTATAATACTTCAAAAGGGTTCTTTTGAATGAATTATTTTGTTGTGCTTCTACTGGTATTGCAATACCAATTTGCAGACGGAAGATGAGGGTTATAAGGCGGTTAAAAAAGAATTAGACAGGCTCACGGAGCACCATCAGAAGGCGAGGTTGGTTTCATTTTTTATTGATCGAGAAAAGGATTAATACGTTTTAACAAGTATTTTATTGATATCGTACAATTGTTGTTTTCGGTCCAACAATGTGGAGCTACACAAAGCAATCGCTGCTCACACTACGAACCTCCACTTGCTTAGTCTTCCTATATCTGAGCTTAGAAACAAGCTCTCGGGTCCACCTATCAATGCCGGTTTGTTAATGAAGCTAGTTCTTCGTGGGAATTTGCTTATGACTTTATATTGAAGGTTCCACACCAGAAGGTGAGGCTCTTCGACGCTTGCTTGAGAAAACACGAGAGATGCAAACCCAACGCAGTTCGCTAGTACAGAGACTCACAGAAGAGATCAATAATGATAATATAGCAAAAAAGTTGCTCTCAGAAAGAGATTCGGACCATAAGGTTAGTTGTACTATGGGCGTCATTTTGACAGTATTGTAAGGCAGTAATATTATTTCAACGCTTTTTGAGCAGTACAACAGATTTCATTTCATACATAGTGGATTGGGCTTAGCAATGCTCGCTTTCTTTCAACTTTAGACGTATTTCACCTTATCGTGAACTTCATCACCCGAAAATAAAAAAGTTCGAATTTTCCAGCTTTCGAAAACCAGAAAAAAATTTCGCACTACCGTATAGTTTTTTTTCTGCGCGTATAAGTAGTTTTTCTTCATTCACTTTCGTTCAGGCTATTTTGGATATTGGAGTATAATTTCGCCCACGTTGATATAGTGGTACTCCTAAGTGTTCTTTTTTAAATTTGTATCGCAGTCCGTCGTCTTTGATTAAGAAAAGTCTAAAATAAAAACATTTTGAAAAAGCAATGTATACCTTTCAGCGGTAGTACAAAGTTTCTTTTGTAAACTTCTTATTTCCAGTGTCTAGTACTGTGGTTGTTGGAAAGTGGTGGGCTTTGTCGAGAAACTGGAAATTTGACGAATAAGTTAGAAGATTTTTAGGAGACGTATATTGTTGAGCTGAAAAAGCACGAAAGCACCAAAAAATACATTGATGCTAACCTTGATGCTCAGGAAAAGATCCTTTCGGCGCTTACAGAAGCCAATGCTGATTTTTCTGAATTCAGAAAGAAAATCAAGACACTGTTGAATACGTAAGTCACTCTCAGTTTTCAATTGTAGAATGTGAAGGAAAAAAAGAGATCTGTAAGAACGAATGTGTTTGCTTAATAACTCGTTGGTAATACTGGATGTTCATTTAATACACGTTCTAACTAATTTTGCAACTCAGGCGTTCGGAACACATAATGACACTGGTCACGGCTTATGATGTTTACTGTGATGTTTGCAGTAAGGTGGAGGATGGACGAAAGTAAGTCATAGCTTTTTTGATGGTGTTGTTTTTGTTATTTTTGATATACACTCACCAAACGAATAGTTTTATAGTAGCTATTAGGTAGTCCAGTAGGCTGCTTCTCTTATTCTAGCTCCGTTGTTCTTCATAGTATGGGAATTTCTTTTCATTCATTGTGACGCAGAATTCTCTTTTACTCGGTTTAGTTTTTATGTGAAGCTGCTGGATCGCCTGAACAAGCTAGCAGTCGCCGTTGAGGGAATTGAAACAGCATGTAAGGTTGTTTTTTACGCGTTTTTTCTCTTCGGTTCAGATAGTCTTATGGATTGTATGTTTTCTTTCATAATTTCCTAACAAGAATTTTGGTATCCTTTCCTTTTCCATTAACTCGTATTTTCAGTTGGAGCTGAAAAACAACGTCGTGAAGCAGAGAAAAGATCACAAGAAGAGAAAATAGCAGCATTTAAGCAAGCTAATGAAGCGCGTGAGACTTTAGCTGACTTTACAATTGGCACACTACCTAATACCAATTTTCCTGGAGGCCAAAATGTTGCCAAAGGTGAGAGGAACGTTTTGTTTCTGTCGTGAAACTTTACAAAAAAGAGACATCTGCGGTCCGGAGTTTTGCAAATATCTCAGCAATCTTGTGGTTGTATTGCACAATTTGTTTTTTAGTTTTAAATCTTCTTTGTAGCTGACCGTCCTCGCTTGGGAGACTACATGAGGTACTATCGTAACAAAATGGCAGTTGATGTTGAACCACCTGCTTCATTTACTCCACAAGTTGTACGATCTACCCATCACACATCACCTCCAGCTTTAACACCATCATCTGCGTGTTACGGTAATCCAGTTATACAGCAACAAGATTTGCACAGCAGTGGTGCAGGTTCGGCCCAACCACCAACTACTGCATCGGTCAATGTGTCAGGCAGGAATGTTTGTTCTTATGTGTAGTGTCGTAGTGGTTCTCATTTTTTTTCTTCAGAGTTAACAACACATTTTTCTCCGCATCTTAATGGTGAATCTGGACTTGCGTCTGTTGCATTTTCTCAACCACCGTTTGCTAACCAACCTTTTGATGGGAAGTCTCATTGCTCTGGAACCATCCCTAAAAATTTTACTTCACCGCTCCCTCAAAATCTGCAGCCTAACTTCCAACAGGTTCGATCGAAAATCGCTATATTCTTTGACATATAAGCCTATTTAAAGCTATGTTTCTTCAGCCTATGCAGCCACAATCGAAGCACACACACGTGTTGCCGATAACATCTCATTCGACTTCGACCGTGCTTTTACCTACATCTTATGCACAGCAGCAATATAACCGGAATCGCGGAGCTGACAATTTATCAACTCCGAGCGTAGTCACTCCTATTGCATCAGTAAATGCTTATTTGCAAACCACACATCTCCAAGTGAGTTTTTTCGAAGTTTCTTTTCAAATTTTTAGTGGCTATATATGCTAGTAGGTAGTTTTTTTTTTTGCGTGAATCTATTCTGAGTTCGTTTCCAGCACCAAGATACCTCAAAAATGCTAACTTCTCACGCAGCGCATCCTTCATTCAATACTGTACAACACCAAGTCGTTGGAACTTCGTCTACTCCCTCACAGCGTCAACCGGAATACTTCCATGGGCAATTTTTAGGACCTTGCCCAACACTTCCAGGAGCTCCAGTTCCTTTGACTCAAAATGGTTCTAATCTCAGTTTTATTGGAAACTGCAGTTCTGCGGTGTTCTTAAACTAGTTTCATCTTTACAATTTTTTCAGCAGTTTTGCCGGTACAGGGATTTGACCAGCACTCTCAGAATACTTCCGAGATCAGTCTGAAGAATTCCGGTACTCATCCATGGGCTTCATGCCTTCCCCAGCAGCAGGCACAATTACCACCTGATCAGTTGATATTATCTAAGAATGGTGCTTCAAACTTACCGACTAGCGTGCTGCCAACCTCTGCTCTATCCAGCACTTCCTTACTTGAACGTAATCCCGAAATTGGCATGCACACAATCACTGGATTACAAGTGAATCAACATGCACCGATGACCTACCAGCAAGGACATGAATCCGTCAATTCAGGAATTACTAGTATGCCACAAGCTCATCCGATGAGCAAAACAGTGTTAGAGAAGCAGGTGAATTTACCTGGTTTTTTGTCAGAAGTACTGAAATGATTGCTGGTACAAATTTTTTCAGGAAATTGTAGCTGTGCAGTGTAACGTTGTATTAATTAGTACGATTATAGGCATTACAGCATAGCATACCTCCATTACCCCAAACGTCACATTTAATTCGACAGCCGCCTCAATTAGCATCCATACCAGCTTCCAGTGTTTCACCATGGCATTCTAAGGTGGTACAAAATGTGGTGAGTCTTTTTCTGTTGTAACTTCAAGTAGGAGTAGGAGTGAAAATCGGTGTTAATAATTGTGGATTTTAGATGCAGTCGCCGTGGCATGCAGGAGTTTCCGTCAATACACTAATGTCAGGCAATTTACCAGTCCCTCCTGTTCAACTACAACAATTCCAACAAAGTCAATTGGTTAGTTGATTCCTAAACGTTTGAAGTATCTACTGTACTAACTCTTACTTTCTTAGCCTTTAATTTCAACGCTGTCTTTTAGCTCCAAGACCATTCGCAGCCATTCCAAGCAAGTGGTAAAAATGCGCCTAATGTGGTTGGTTTTTCAATCACCGACTTCATGTTCGAAACCGTTTTCGTACTTAGTTGAGTTGGTATTTCACTGAGGAAATTGCAGTTAATTAGTTTTTAGTGCTATATTTTAGCTTCAAGACCATGCAAAGGCTTTGGAAACACCTCATAAAAATGTCCCTAATGTGGTGAGTATCTCGAGCAGTTCTCTCTCCAATTTCTTATTCATAAAGGAATTCATATACGAATATAAGAACAGTAAGATTTTTAGGATCTTCTGGATGGGTTACCTGAGAACAACAATCTACCGCCTGCGATGATTCCATCTTCAAAATCCGTGGAAAATCAAAGTGAAGTTTTTATTCCATGACAACGAACATGTTTTCCACATTGTTAACTCTTGAAAGTGGTATAACTTTGACGGAAGATAATGGCGTACTGCGTTCTATTCCTTTTATGACATTCCTGTAGCGAGTACGTGTATATTACTCGTATTATTCCTTTTCTGCAATGCTGTTAACGCAATCGTTTTAGATTTACTACAAACGTGTGCACCATCGTTATCATCTTCATCTGAGACGTTAACACTATCTGCTATTCATCGTCTACCTGACACTGTTGGTAATCCAGATGAACAAAGTCAAGTGACTTTACTCCAGGAATCTAGAATAAGTCAACATGCCCAGCAGACCGCGCCACAAGGAATTTCTATACCACAACCAACTCAGGTTAGGACTTTTGCAATGGGCATTGAACCGAATCATATGTACTTGTGTCCACTGATCAGTGGTCGGTAAGTGGTATTTATCATTCGCAAAGATATGCGCTTCATCTGATAGGTTTTTAACATTTGACAAATTTTAACAGGTGCTAACTTTAATATCACAGCAAGCCTAGATGTTTTGCTTTTTGAAAATCAGTGAAAATTGTTATTTTCACTTCAAAAAACCAGCAGTTAGAATTTTGAAGAGCATCGCTTTCCCGAAGTTGCATAGTTTATTGTGAAACGTGAAACTGCAGTGTTTGGGAACAGTCTTTATTGGAGGTTTCTTCTTTTGCTTGAACATGGTGCTCTCTTTATATTGATCGATATTTTATGAGTTTGGGAAATACAACACGAATATATAAAGTCAAGAATTAGAATTTGAAATAGCATGAATTAGAGCTGGTCGAACAGTACAGGAAACAAGGAGCCATTCCAGTGTGCGTGTAATTAGTTTATCTCATCAATTCGTTGAAAAGTCATGTTTTCAGAATACTGGAATTATTTCTGAATAGCACAGTGATGCTATCCACAAACAGAACCCTTTCGAAAAGCAACTCGTTTCTGGAATTCTGCACTAAACAACTTTAGAAACTTTAGGCTTAAAGATTGGCCTAAACGACATGTTACGTGATCCAAGTATTGTTTTTCATCTTGAAGTTTGTTCTCAATTAATTGCAGTTCAAGCAGAAAATCGAGTTTTTCGGCGTTTTTTAAAACGTCTTTGCCCTCAGCTTCCTTTTTATAAATGTTGGAGACAAAATTTCCTTTTTCTAACAAATATTATAAGGGAATTTGTCTTTGATGGAATGCAGTATGTACATTATATTTTATGCACCTTAGTTCATTGATAGGCTAACACGAGGTTGTTACCATGTATTTATTCGGCTAAAGTTTCGACGTCTTTGTTTTCTTCATAGCTAGGAACCTCGTGTTGGATTATCACTGAAACAGGGTACATTGATCATACTTAGCGAAGTTAAATGAGAATTGGTTTAGATCAATACTATATTTTAAGCGATATTTCAGGTGTCACGCCCTGCCGCCGCTGTAATGCCTATCCAATACCAAGACACTCATAGTACTTGTACGGAAACTGAACAATCAGTGAGTTTATAGAAATTTTTATGACAAGTACGGAAATTTTGCTTAGCCACTTATTTTGTTTCACCGATAGGGTGTGTTGGACACCAGTTCCATGGATTCTTCCACAAGTGAGTTCCCATGGAGTATCGAATGTGACACATATCGTTTTTTTTATTCCTTTATTTCCTACACACAAGTGGTACAATTTGACCTTTCTGGGATGGCTGCCCAGTAACAGTGATGGTGTTCATCATGATCACGCTGCAGGTTCGACCACCTTTGTTCTCGCCAAGCCTCACATCTCTTTTTGGTCGCGGAATTGGTACCATACTCGTTTGGGATCAGCTTACTCCCTACAACTCACGTAGGAACGGTGTATCTCGGCGATCCCAAAACTTTATGGAGATCGGACTCGACCGTCATTCAACGACAGTAATAACAAAGATGAAAATCTTAACCTTTTTTATTTACTGCCTAGTATAATTTTTAACGGCAGGGTATGATGTGAAATACAATTAAGATATGCTGAGACATTGGCAAATCTCCGGACCACGGGTATTTGCGGTAGGGAACGAGCGCGCTGTTGTCCTTACCGGGGAGTAACGCGTTCACCACCCACCACACCATGCGGGTCCTAGTTCAGTCCCGTTGACGGGTGATTGCTGATGGCGCCGATCAATAGAACTAGCTGAGAAATAGGCGAAACCAAGGACCCACATGGTGTGGTGGTGAACGCGTTACTTCCCGTGAAGGACAATAGCACGTTCGTTCCCCACCGCAAAGGTGAAAATCCTCAAGCAGCAGCCGAACTCACACGCGAAAAGTTCGAAAATTTTCATGGATTGTTGTGGTTGCGTTGGGACGAATAGAGTGCAAGAAATACTTTTCTTCACACAGTAGATGTGAAAGATGGCATGTAAAATGAATTAAAAACAAACAGTTTGACGTTTGATTGGTACAAAAATTTTTCAGAAGGTTACAGTTTTTTCTTCTGTCATTTTTTCTGGTTAATTATTAAATGGTGATTGCTTGCAGACTTCTCGTATACTACCGCTATCGGACATAACAGATCCGACGAAGTTCGAACTTGGACCGTGTGATAAAACTCGTCTGGAGAAACGCCTACTTCATGAACATATTCGTAGCGGTGGGGACACTCCATTACCAAAGCTGGATCCTAATGATCCGTTGAATACCATTGATCCTTTCTGGAAGACAAGATGATTAACTTGAAAACGAGTGTTACGTTTGGCGTAAAATTTTGGTAAGTGCTGATGTTTTAGCGTGGTATTACTTGCCATTTATAAGAAATACTTGCCTACACGTACGTGTTTGATGCGTATTTATATCGTGGTAATCCTATAGCACTGCTACCAATTAAGCCACTAAATTTGTTTCGATCATGGCATAGTGAGAATAGTTTTTTTTTAAACTGTGAATCTTTTACCACTTGAAGTCGCAACTCACTAGCTCTGGGTGTCGATAAAATCCTTACAGTAGTAATGAAGTATTACTTAGATTTTCGATGTTCAGAATAATTGGCATTCATTTTTAGCATAGTTGGTACTGCGATGGAATAGGCATTTTTCGCAAAATTTCATTCATCCGACAACTCACCACCAGGAAACAATTTTAATAAAGTTTTTACTCTAAAATGAAGAATAGTTGAATATGGGAGATAGATAGAGGCTATGGGTGGAACAGAAGAAGCGTGCAGACGTATTGTATTGTAATGATTCAGCCAAAGCCAAATATACATTTAGAAGTTCGTCTTGTTTTGATAATAACCATGCCAATAATAGTAATAATAACAATATTAATGGGGTAGGATTTGCTAAGGAAAGGTGTAATTGCGCTTGAAGGTAGATGTAGTTAGAAGAAACCTTCTGAAAATTTGAAAATAATTGTTTATAAACTGCTCACTTGGTCATTTTAGCAATGTAACTACATTGCTAGCATAGTACTTAGTAGTGTACTTTTTGTATAAACATGCATTGGCTTCATTGGCTTGCGCATCACATGGATTTCAATTTTCAGTTCTGTGATATTTTCAAGAATGTGAAGATTCTTTTTAAACAGCATTTTTTCTCTTGGATTGTTTTTGTAGAATACGTTAGTGTATTCCCCTAAGAGTTGCATTCATTGCTTCCTAGAAACGTGCCCTGTACTATTCATGTTCATAATCCATTGCATCTATGTAGCTCTTGCGTATATATAACGCCTCAAGATTCGATAACAGCTGTACATTTCGTAGATCACCGTCGAGCTGGAATATGGTTAGAAAATTTCCGATGATACTGTTTCCTACTACAGGTTTTCAGAAACGTTTCTATGTAGTGAGTCGCGTACTACTAACTCACTTCGAAATTGTTCAACATTAGCTTGACGGTGTTACATCTTTGGAAATGTGATACTATTACTATGAGATTAAGTGAATATTGATACCTTTGGAGTGAAAGCGGTGCTCTTGATTAGTTTCCAGAATATTCTTTATATTTGGTATCGCGTCTTGCTACGATAGTTTGTGGCCAGCCCTAGTCATCGTTATCCTATTCGATGTGGATGTTCACTGAAATGCTTCATTGCGTTTAACACATCATTCACCTTCATGCTTTGCTTTGTGCACATACGGCTATCACATAATAGTTCATAGTATATTTTCTCTGAATATGCAACAGCGGAATTGAATGCACTTGATTTTTACCTTACAGAGGAAATGTATATTGATGCCTACTGATTACTACTGTGTCGTATAAAGTACTTTGTTACAAGTGGTGAAGTTCAGTTCTTGTGCGAAATTTGCAAAAATAAGACGAGAACGCTATCTGGAACTTATGTTTTGGGTGTTATGAGAAGTGGATATGATTGGTATACAGTCTCTATGACAGTGAGTAAGAGCTTGTAGTTATTTTCATTTCCCGAAGTACTTTCATCTTTGTTTTAGTTTTTTCGGGCTAGTTTGTTTCGCAGTTTACCATAGACAGCGTCGAATGCTCAGCGCAATGTCATTCGGAGCCGAGGTCGAATTCGCCTTCAGAGTTTGTTGACTTGGAATAAATTTTTCATTTAACTATTGACGTGACTTACTGTGGTGGTATTCCACACCGATATCGATCAGATCCTGTTGTCCGTACGTTCTTATTTATTTGGACGGTTTCTTTATCAACCATCTATTAACTGTTATCATTCTGGGTGGCGTAGCCAACGAAAGTGTTCTTTGACTTCTATAAAGATAGAATATGATAGAGCTAGCTGAGAGACTGGCGAAACGAAGGACCCGCATGGTCTGGTGGTGAACGCGTTACTCCCCGGAAAGGACAATAGCGCGTTCGTTCCCCACCGCAGACATCTGCGGTCCCGAGTTTTGCAAATATTTCAGCATTATAGAAGTTATATTTCTCAAAATACCCTGCCGTTAAAAAGAATAGGCATTAAATAAAAAGGTTAGGATAGTGTGAACATGGTTCTGATTAGTATCAGTACCAAGTATTTTGGTTGTGATCGCTCTTTTGTTCCTAAGGCTGATCATTTCTGTTAGATGGTAACATTTGAGAGACTTTCATCACTATCTCCGATGAAAGATGGACTCAGTATTGTTGTACTGTAGTTCTGTTAACACATTGACCAATAGGACTTTGCTGAACACTTCATGTCATTATCGTTACACTGAATGATTATTTGCTTAACATTGAAGAGTCGAAATGCACTTCCTGCGACTTTTGCTCATATCCTTCTACTACAAGGGCGAGTGTGGTTCAGTAGTTAGAGGTGCCGTGCAATACACATAGGTTCTATTCCGCCTCACAAGACTTGTCACCATGCATTTCATCCCTTCAGTCCGTAGATTAATGACGGACTTGTCTGGGAGGATAGCGGCACTGACTCGATATATCGGTAGGCCACCGCGAGTCAATGTAGAGGTCAGGTATGCATCCAGTCACATTTAGCGATGCTTAATAAAGTCGAATACGTGTCGCATCCCATAGGGATTGATTAACATCGGATGTTTTATCCTTTTATTCTTTATCTTATATTAGTTATTTCCTGCGGATTGTTGGTTCTCTGCATGCAAGTTCCAGTGGATTGAGAATAACGAAACTCTTCTTCTCTTTATCCTTTACATGAACCGAAGAGTTGAAATTCAAAGGCGAGGAAGGCGAAATCCGCCAAAACGTCAGCTTATTCGTGAATAAGGAATAATAACACCTCGCGTTTGCTCAACAAAAATGCGAAGAATTACTTGAAATTCAAAGGTTCGTCAGATTCCAAAGTCTTGTGTCAACACAGACATATTACTCCTCAGTTGTGAACTCTGTTCCTGTCACAGTTTCGCATAAATCTCCGTAACACTGAATAGTCGCCTTCAGTTGATCCTTAATAGTACAGAGAAAGCTGGTTTTTGCGATCGTGCTAAGGACTACAACGTGGGGCTTTACCAGTTTCTTGTCTTTCACCTGGACTTTCTTGTAGTGCAGTGGTTAGAAGTGCCCTCCAATACACATAGGTTCGACCTCACCTCCAAGGCTCACCAAGCCTTCCATCCCATCGGAGTCGGTAAATTGGTACCAGACTTGTCTGGGAGGGTAGCAGCACTGACTCGGTACATCGCTGGGCTACCGAAATTCATTGTATAGGTCATACATGCATTCAATCACTTTTAACGACACTTCATGAAGTCGAATGCATGGCGCATCTCTCAGATATCAACGCCGAGAGCTCTATTTTATTTACTCATTCACTAATGGTTTTTATCTACTGATTTTCGTTAGGGCGTCTGCCATGTGCAGGTCACCTGATTTTGGAAATTTTGAGATATATGCAGTGTCTGAAACACTTTAATGTTATTATCGTTAAGGAAGAGAGGTTCCTGGGGTTTGAGGAGGAAGAAACGTAAAGTGGAAAGAGCGAGGTGTTTATTGTCCTTTCGTTTCATTTAAACGATATGAGATTCTCTTTTTATCAATACTCTTTGCTGCACTTTCGATAGCGCCGGCAGGTGTTCTATCTTTTGAGCATAGTGTCTTCTCTAGTAGTTTAGCGCTTCATTGTGATCGTGGCGTGCATTGTGTCGTGCTGCGATCGACAGCTTGAGTTTATTCCCTATCAGAACCACCAGTGCTAACGAATTTGATGTTTCTGTTCGGAATCCAGACGAAGATTAAACCTGTGTAAATCTGAGCCCGAACCTCGTTCTCGTTGAGCTAGTGGCGAATATCTTCTTACAAAGTTAATTAAGAAAAAGACGTCATAACAAAACGATGATGTTGTTCGTGTCTCTTAAGCAAGCTGAACTCAGTAAGCAGTTCTGAGTTACGGTGGGTATGAATGAAGTTTATTCGTACCTGTTCAAATGACTCGATTGTTAAATTGTTAAAGGTGCCACTATCTCATACTCTCTCTAAATCTGGCACTACTTTTTAACCTGATAAAGGACAAGCTCTCGTTCGATGTGGGCCACGTCGGTTGTTCGTTGCACTTCTCTCATCGGGCATAATATCCATTGATGACGTCATCGACTTACAATCTTGTGCTTGATTTGAATTGTTAAGGCATCCGTAGTGCCATGTTTGCTTCGTTTAGAGAATATTTGGGTTTGTTTGGAATTATTTCCTGAAAGGTTAACAAGACTTATTTTCCATAAGACTGTGTTCAGTACATGTTTTCGCATCCAAATTTAGCGTTAGCGTATATATATATATGTGTATATATATATACATATATATATATACGTATATACATATGTATACATGTATAAGTATATATAAATATATGCGTATATACATATAATATCTCCCAGTAGTTTACTGCCTCATCGTGACTGGAAGGTGTTGGTTGGTGTTCGGCTGGTCTTCCATGCTGATGAGTATTCCGGCGTTTCCACTAGAAAGCCCAACTAAGGCTAAACCAATACCAGGTTATGGATGCTTGGAATCCCGAGATCAGCCTAGCCAAATCTCCCCCAGGTCGTCACTAGCACAGGCAGTCGTCACCCTTGTGGTTCAGAGGGAGATTTCCCACCGTGCGTCTAATTTAATACCAAGACGGTGGAGAATCCTTGTATTGGTTTACTCCTAGCCGGGCGTTCTTCTGGAAACGCCGGACTCGTCAGCTTGGGAGACCCTGCTGGAGGAGTAAATCCTCCTGCTGTATGTTGCGGCTCGTCACCCAGCAACACCTCCCAGCAACGACTAGGCGGTAAACCGTTGGTTGGTTATATATTTATA